AGCTGTCGAGGGAAGAGACCGGCCTGGCTGAACAAAGAAATAAGGTCACAGCTCAGGGAAAAAAGGAAAGTTTATGTCCTTTGGAAAAAAGGACAGGCTACTCAGGAAGATTACAAAGATGTAGCAAAATTATGCAGGGAAAAGATTAGAAAGGCCAAAGCTCAGCTAGAACTAAATCTGGCCCTGGATGTTAGAAACAATAAAAAGAATTTCTATAAATATATTAATAGCAAGAGGAGGACTCGGGAGAACCTCCACTCTCTCCTCGATATGGAAGGTAACATAGTGACAAAGGATGAGGAGAAGGCTGAGGTACTAAATGCCACCTTTGCCTCAGTCTTTAGCAGTGGACTAGGGTGTCCCCCAAGTGCCCAGACCCCTGAACTAGCAGTTAGGGGCGGGGAGCAGGATGAAGCCCCCGAAATTCTAAGGGAGATGGTGAGGGACTTGCTCCAAAACCTTGACATAAACAAATCTATGGGTCCAGATGGGATTCGTCCAAGGGTTCTGAGAGAACTGTCAGAAGTGCTTGCAGAGCCACTCTCCATCATCTACCAACAGTCGTGGCAAACTGGGGAGGTCCCAGCCGACTGGCGCCTAGCAAATGTGACGCCCATCCACAAGAAGGGTGGGAAGGATGATCCAGGGAACTACAGGCCAGTCAGTCTGACCTCGGTGCCTGGGAAGGTCATGGAACAGATCATCCTGAGTGTCATCATACAACACATGAAGAACACCCAGGTGATGAGGCCCAGCCAGCACGGGTTCACGAGGGGCAGGTCCTGCTTGACGAACCTGATCTCTTTCTGTGACAAAGTGACTCACTTGGTGCATGAAGGAAAGGCTGTGGATGTTATTTACCTAGACTTTAGCAAGGCCTTTGATACAGTATCCCACAGTATTCTTGTGGAGAAACTCGGCGCTCATGGCTTAGATGGGTATACTCTCCGCTGGGTTAAAAACTGGCTAGAGGGCCGGGCCAAGAGAGTGGTGGTAAATGGAGTGAAGTCCAGTTGGCGACCAGTCACGAGTGGTGTCCCACAGGGCTCAGTACTGGGGCCGGTTCTCTTCAACATCTTTATCAATGATCTGGACGAGGGGATCGAGTGCACCCTCAGCAAATTTGCAGACGACACCAAATTGGGTGGCAGTGTTGATCTGCTGGAGGGTAGAGAGGCTCTGCAGAGGGATCTAGACAGGCTGGATGGATGGGCTGAGACCAACGGAATGCGGTTCAATAAGACCAAGTGCAGGGTCCTGCACTTCGGTCACAACAACCCCAGGCAGCGCTACAGGCTGGGGGCAGATTGGCTGGAGAGCTGCCTGGCAGAAAAGGACCTGGGGGGGTTGGTCGACAGTCGGCTGAACATGAGCCAGCAGTGTGTCCAGGTGGCCAAGAAGGCCAACAGCATCCTGGCCTGTATCAGGAACAGTGTGGTGAGTAGGACCCGAGAAGTGATCATCCCCCTGTACTGGGCACTGGTGAGACCCCACCTCGAGTAGTGTGTCCAGTTTTGGGCCCCCTACCACAAGAGGGACATTGAGGTGCTGGAGCGGGTCCAGAGAAGGGCAATGAGGCTGGTGAGGGGTCTGGAGCACAAGTCTTATGAGGAGAGGCTGAGGGAGCTGGGGTTGTTCAGTGTGGGGAAGAGGAGACTGAGGGGAGACCTTACTGCTCTGTACAAGTACCTGAAAGGAAGCTGTAGAGAGGCAGGGGTCGGTCTCTTCTTCCAAGCTACAGACGATAGGACAAGGGGTAATGGCTTCAAGTTGCGCCAGGGGAAGTTCAGGTTGGCGATTAGGAACCATTTCTTTACTGCAAGGGTTGTCAGGCATTGGAACGCACTGCCCAGGGAGGTGGTGGAGTCACCATCCCTGGAGGTATTTAAGAAACGTGTAGACATGGCTCTTCAGGGCATGCTCTAGTGCCCAAGATTATTGGTTTGTGGTGGGATGTTGTGTGGGTGGGTGACGGCTTTTGGTTTGGTTGTTGTGTATTTAGGGGGTGGGTGGTGGTCTCTGTGATTCTGTGATTCTGTGATATGCGAGTGGCGCAACCCTGCACGCCCCCATGGTGCATGCTGTTTGTGTTTGCATACACACTGGCATGTTAGCATGTGTGCACTGTGTGTGTGTGTGTGCACTCAGTAACTGTTGCACTCTGCAGCTGTGTACCACACTGTGGGTGCACACCATGTACATGCACTGTCGTACAGGTGAGCCAGTGAGCATGCACACACCACACGTGTACATTCACAGGGCAGAGCGTGTGCAGTGTGTGTGGGCATTGTGTGCATGCAGGCAGGCTGTGTGTGCATGCACTTTGTGTGTTTGTGCACGCTGAGTGTGCGTGCCTTCCACTCTCTGGGCATGACGGACATAGTGTGTGTGTTACCCAGAGTTTTCACCCAGTGGGGAACAGGGCTGGGCTGGGGGCAGTGGGGGCTGAGGGCAGGTCCCTCTGCAGGCAGCGGGACCCCAAAGGAGCACAGGCTGCCCGGGTTCAGTAACCTAGTTCCCGGGATTCGGGGCTGCTGAGGGGAAGCAGAGGAGGGTACAGGGGAAGGGGGGAGCCTGCAGCGGGAGGAGGTAGCGGGCATGGAAGAAGTGAGGAGGATGGCTGTGGGGTCATTGTGGGGTGAGGGTAGAGCGCCCGTTCCACGTATGCAGGGGAGCACCCCCAGCTCAGGTTGTCCCCGGGGAGCCACATCCTTGTGTCTCCCTCCTCCTCTGGCTGCCGAGGATGGGAGCTGGGCCCTGCTCTGGGCAGGGCTGTGCTGAGGATGCCGCTGCTCCCCTGCAGAGCCCTGTCACCCCCTGTCCCCACCCTGCACAAAGCTGCCTCTGAGCCAGCTCTGTGCTGCTCCCCAGGGAGCGGGGTCCCCCAGATGCACTGATGGCAGAGGTGGCATTTCCAGGAGCCACTTGGCGCTGAGGAGAAGGGCACGTGCCCCCGAGGCCATCCAGTGCCAAGGCCTGAGAATAGCTGAGACTTGGGGAAAAGCTCACCCTGGAGTTCCAGGGCTGCAGACACAAGGACAAGGGTCCGCAGGGCATAGGGAACCATGATGTCCACAGGGCAGCTGCTCTACCAAGGGCAGCTCTGGACTCTTCTCCAGCCCGTGCAGTGACATCTGTGTGACACTCGCGTAGCTGAGCGCAGCTCCATGGAGGGACACATTTCTCAAGCGAGCACTACCAAATTCCCTGCATAGGAGCCGGCTCTCTGCTTCATGCTGGCAGCAGCAGGTCACCATGGGTCTGGTGGGGCAGAGCAGCAAGGAGACGGTGCTGCAGGGTGGTGGCTGGGGTCATGTTCAAGGTGCTGCAACTGGCAGAGGGGTTGGTGCTGTGAAACGGAGTCACAGGGACATCAATAAGCATTTGGAGAGCTGCTCTGTGTTGTCTTGGTGTGATGGTTATCAACAACCTGGTGTGATGGTTATCGATGGCTCTGCAACAACCCAGTGATGGTACAGGCAAAGGTCTCTGTCCCCACGAGGCCAGGCCCTAGAGATAAAAGTGAAGCTGAGGGTGTCCACGGGAGAGGGACCAACGTGCCACCAGCACGTGCAGCCACAGCCTGGAGTGCAAGAGCAACGTGGACAAAGGCTGCCTGAGCAGCGGGGATGCAGGATTGCACCGAGGAGGTGCAGGTGTGGAGGTGCTATGGGCAGGGGGCACAGAAAGGGGGCTGCAGTGCAGGAGAGAGTCTGTCCCCCTTCTAGGAGAAGGGTTGGGGTAACTTCTGCTTCCTGACATGGGGAGACCTGGTCCCAGACCTGGTCTCTGCCACGCCAATGTGAGGAGATACAGCAGGGGATTGCCCTCAGCTGAAGGCCTTGGTGTTCCTGGGCTGGGGGCGGTTCTGGGCAGACATCCCACAGCTTCCAGGTGGCAGATGGAATTGGGATGTCCCTCTGCAGCCCAGTACCACCCCTCACATGCCAGCTGGAGTCTCCTGACGAGCTCTCTCCACTCCCGCTCCTGACATTATTTTCCATAGGCCATGTCTGCTTCTTTCCATCTGCATGCTTGGGCTGTAGGCTGTGTGCCAGGGGGTGCCGGAGACGGTCTGTGTGGTGGAGGATGCTGCATGGGCATGTGAGACACTCTCAAGAAGAAGGTGGGATGGACTGTGATGATCAGGGGCAGGGCTCAGTCAAACAAGCAAAGACACCAGCAGCTTGCCTGTGTGTGACGGGCTCCTTCATCCCGTCTTGTCTCCATTTTCCATGCTCGTACATCCCCTTCATCTTCCCTGTCTCCTCCCTCTCTCCACCCCTGTCTCTCCTCCCAAACCAGGGACCCACCCCCAGCTATTTCCCACCCTGCTCCCAGCTTTGTTCCATCTGTGAACCAGGAGCTCTGGTCACCTTGGACTCCCATGGCATTACTGATGGGGTTTTCTGGATACTGTGTCCCTGCCACATTCCTCTCCCCAAAATGACCCCAACTCTTCCTTCAATTGTCTGAGAAGTGTGGCCACCTCTCTCATCATCCCCCCTTAAGCACCCATGAAATCTGGCTCTTCCCTACGGCACTGTGACTCCTGTTGGCTTCTCGCTCTGTTGGCTGTGGTCAGCGATGTCTCCTGTCACGCTCAGGAGTGTCCCAGGATGGCTCTGAGCACCCTCCTCTCCTACCAGGCACATGTTCAGCCCTTTGGGGTGACTCTCCCCCTTTCTGCCCCACTCTGCCCGCAGCCTCATCCTGCGGGGGCCGGGCATGGAAGTCCTTGCCTGGCACCAGAGACTGAATTGGACAAAGCGTGCTTAGCTGTGAACATCGGCAACTTTATTTCAACAACCAAGGCAGGACAGAGCAGGCCTTGGCCACTGAGGCTGCCTTTGCACCAGCAGGTGGGCCCCAGGAGGAGATGGTCATGGGACACTGCAGCCTGCACCGCACACTCTTCATCCTGCTGCTCAAACCTTTTTCCCCCTGAGGGCCTGCAGGAGCTCCTGCAGCACATTAAAGAATTGCTCCAGCTTCAGGCGTGAAAATGGACATGGTAAAGACTGGCTTGAGTGTGTTGGGACCGGCCTTTGGGTTTGAGGAGCGTAAGTGATGTGTACATGTTGTGTTGGAGTAGCCGTTGCTGCTGGACGCAGCCCCATCTGGACCAGGATCCAGTCGTAGAAGTGCTGTGTAGAGGTGTAGACCCCGGGCTGTCTGGCTCTGGCGCAGCCTTTTCCCCAGCTGGTCACCCCAACCAGCCAGAAGTAGTCCGCAATTGTGTCTTTGCACATGAGAGGACCACCACTGTCCCCCTGCAGCAGAGGAGAGAGGAGAGAGTGTGTTGGTGGCCACAATCAGCACTACAGGGGCTCCTGGATGTGTGGAAGAGGGATGTTCTGGGACTGGGATCTGGACCTATGGCTGCCAAGAGCAGGGATGGTCTTTCTGGGCAGAGTCCCGGCCTCTGGGACCAGGGGGGACACTGGCAAGGACCTGCCACCGGGGAAGGGGAGGTGAAGCCCCAGCAGGGGTGGGGAGCCAGCGGCGACAGCAGGGCGACTGGCCCATCAGAGCCCGTGCCGGGGTGTGCGTGGCAGCAGTGAGAGGGCTCCTGTGCTGCTGGGGCCAGGCTGGGGGCACCCTCCTACCTGGCAGGTGTCGATGAGCCCGTAGGCATAGCCAGCACACAGGTTGTTGCTGTGGACGGCCCCTGCGTACCACCGGCTGCTGTTACAGATGCGGGTGTCCAGGAGGTGGACGGGGGCCTCCTGCAGGACATCAGGTTGTCGGGAACCTGTCAGCACAGAAAGCAATTAACCCCCAGCAGCTGGTTACCAGTTCTCCCCGCTCTCCCTGCTTGCTGAACCCCTTCCCCAGGGCTCGGTTTTGCACCCGGGAGCCCTTGGGCCAGTGCTTCCCTCTGCCCTCGTGCTGGGCAATGGGCTGGGTCCATCTCCCGATGGGCAACCGTCCCCACAGCCCGACTCTGGCCTTCGTCCCTGCTCTCGAGAAGCCCAGCCCTTCTCCCCAGCCAGCCAAGCTGGCCCTCGGCACACCAGCACTTTTGGGGAACTCACTTCTTGGATTCATGGAGCCCCAGCCACTGACGTAGCAGTTTTTCAGCTCCGACACCCTCAGTGAGGCGTCGGGCACACAGGCCAGCTGTACATAGTGGCTGCACTGGACTGGGTGATCCAGCTCCAGCAAGGCAATGTCATTCAGCTGCGAGATGTTGTTGTAGTGCTCGTGCATCACGAGCCGCTGGATGTGGCGCTCCTGGACCTCCGGGCCCATCTGAGACAGCCGGTTGGCCCCAATCACCACGCGCCAGCGGAGTTCGGGACTGGAAGGCAGATGGAGAGGGGTGAGAGGGAGTGGAGCCCCGGGCTGCAGCAGCCCAGCCATTCCCTGCCCTCGGCTTCCCCAGTGAGGGAGCACAGCCACACTACTGAGACGCCTCTGGCACTGGCCACGGCCAGCTGGCAGCCGTGGCTGCTGGGGAGCGGTGGCACGAACCCAGCCTTCTCCAGAGCAGTCCCTGCTGGCTCGGGAGTGCTCTGGTGCAGGGTGAGGGACTGGGGAGGGAGCAGCACGTGGTGCTGCCACAGGGCACTGGCTGGGGTGATGGGGACAGCCCCGTGCCCTAGTGCCCCTCACCTGAGTTCGAGGAAGCAGTGGGCTGCAGTCAGGACCCACTGGGCGCTGATGAGGGACCCTCCGCACACGTGAGCCCAGTCGATGTGCCAGGTGTGCTGGATGCTGACCATCCATGGCCAGGCCCCTGGACGGGCGTCTGTGCCCCCCACGACGCGCGACGTGCTGTAGCCATGAGCCAAGGGCCGGAGACCGCAGCTCGCTCTGTAACCAGCAATTCGTGACTCTCCTGCCCCAGGGCTCGCTGCTGCTCTGCATCAAGGTCACCGTCCCCCCTCCCCACAAGGCGCTGCAGGGCCGGGGGACCCCCGGGGCGAGCGTCCGCCCACCCCTGTTCCTGCTTTAGCCCCGCAGCAGAGCTGTGCCAGCGGCCTGGGGGATGGCCAGGATCTCAGGCTCCCCCCTGGCGCTGGGGAAGCTGTGGGGTGGCTGTGGGGGACAAGCGGGCACCCTGCAGGGAACCCCGTAAGGGTTGCCCAAGCTGCTCCCAGAGCCTCGGCCACTTACCCACAGTTGTCCCAGGTGCCCTGTGCGGGCCAGCACAGGGCCAGCAGGACGAGGACCAGGAGCAGATGCATGGTGCCAGTGGCACGTGGCAGATGAAGGAGCCGAGAGCTCGTTGTCGCCATCAGAGCAGCAGCCGAGGCAGTGCTGGCAGCGCCGGCAGCGCTCGCAGTGCCCTGGTTGCCAGGGCTGATGTCACAGAGCCCCTGGTTCCGATGCTGGGCAGGGGCCTATCAGGGGGAGGGGGGCGCAGCTCGGGGGGTTCCGAGCAGGAGGGGCGGCAGAAGCTGGGCCCAGACACCCCCGGCAGGCCCCACTGATGGCTCCGGTTGCGCGATGCGGGTGTGTGGCCCACAGCCCGTGACAGCGCCTGGCTCCAAGCCAGCGCCTGCCAACAGCCCCCAGGAAAACCAATGTGGCACCACAGCCCCTTGGGAAGGTCCCCCCACCCTGTTCTGCAGCCCTTGGCCACCACGTCCTTCCCAAAGCACACACCAGAGAGCAGAACTGCCCCCGCACGCACCCGGTTGGGTGCTGCAGAGCCCCTCTGAGGATGGCAGGGATGTGCGAGGCCAAGAAGCCAAGGATGGCCATGCTGTGTCCCCCGTCCCGCACAAAGCAGTGTCCCCTCCTGCTCTGGCTGTGTCAGCCCCAGCAACACCCTGGCAGTGCACGGCCAAAGAGATGCCACTTTAAGCTCTAGACAGAAAATGATGCTGCTGGTGTGTTGGCCTGCCATTCTCCACAGCATTGGTAAATCCTTGTCATGGTTTGAGCCCCACCACTCAGCCACTCGCTTGCCCCTTCTCCACCCCACAGGGGAGATGAGGGAGAAAAGGAGGAGAAAGGAAAAAAACCTCATGGGTTGAAATAAAGACAGTTTAATAGAATGAGATCAGAAAACTAGCACAAAAAATATCAATAACCACCTGTCCTGGTGGGCCACTGAAACCAACAGCAGATTCTCCCCACGCTTCTCTATCCACGGAAAGAGCCAACCTTGGTTGTTATAGCAGTAAGTAGAAGCAAGAGCCCCTCTGCATGCCGTTCCTTGGCATAAATTGAAAATTGGCAGAAAATTGGTCCTATCTCTCTGGGAGCAAGCAGTGTCTCAGCAATATGCTGTTAATTTCAGACAGTTCAATTAGTAAGAAGAGCCTTGGTTGAAAAGTAAAACTAGCGAACAGAAAATTGGTTCTGGTTTACCTCAAACCAGGAACCACCACCTGCTGAACTGGCACCATCCCGAGCTGTGATCGGGCATTCCCACCCCCTGGCCAACCCTCAGTTACCTACTCAGCAGGTCTGTGGCGTGGAACATTGCATTGGCCATTCCATCGCTCTATTCTTCTACGGGAAGCTAAAAAAAAGTCCTTGATTAATGTAAATGTCAAGGAGCCTGTCACACACAGGCAAGCTGCTGGTGTCTTTGCTTGTTTGACTGAGCCCTGCCCCTGATCATCACAGTCCATCCCACCTCCTTCTTGGGAGCGATTCCAAACCCGGATCTGTGTGGCCCTGCTCTCTACCCACTGGGCAGTGGGTCCAGAGGCTGCCAGCAATGGCAAAAGAACAGAGGCCCCAGGGACCCCACAGCTGGAAACACCCAGTGTCCAGAGCCAGCGCTGGGTGGGAGCACCGTGTGCGTGTGCCATTCACTAGTGAACGTGGAGCTGGACTCGCTCACGAGCACGGGGACAGAGACCCTTCCAGACATGTGGGTGGCACGGGGTTGCAGCCCCCCTCCTTGATCAGCCCCAGCATCCACAGACCTTACAAGGGGCCCTGGCTGCCAACCCCCGGCCACGTCTCCACCTCCTGGAGTCACGAGAGACGTGGAGGTGCTTGAGCGTGCAATGCCTGAGCTGCTTCCCACCCAGCCACGGCCCCTCTGCCCTCACGGCACAAGGTCCTGCCTCTGAAGCTGCCGGGACCATCCATCCCCTCCTCTTGCTGTGCTCCTGGCCCCTGGCAAGGGATGGTGCTGCAGCTCCCAGCTCTGGTCCCACCATTGCACAGCACCAGGCTGTGTGTTCTCTGCCCACAAGTCTGCTGGAGCTGGTGCTGCCCAACACGACGGGACAGGAGACCCAGAGCAGCTCTGCAGCAGAGACCCCAGGGTGGGCAGAGGGGCAGCGCTGGCTGGGCTGTGACAGCAGCGGGGAGGGCTGGCAGTTGGACTTATAACAGAAGCACAGGAAGGACACAAGCTCAAAGCTCTAGAAAAGAATTCTTTAGTATTAGTTTGCTCCAGGAGGTACGGTTAAAGCATCTGGGCAGGACCCTGCCCTGCAGGTGCAGGAGCAGCTCAGCTCTCCCAGCGAGCTTTGCCTTGAAGGAGAGTGCAGTAACAAGCAATCGTGGATATTCTTGCCCTTTTCCTGTCCGCGTTATCCCGGGCTGCAGAGCAATGTGGGGATGGCTGTGGTAGGGTAAAGGGTCTGCCACCACGTATCTGGGTGGCACCCCTTGTGTCTGAGTGGCCCGGGGCAGGCCATGCTCTCTGGAGGCAGCCTGAGCACTGCATGGCTGTGCAGCAGCCTGCCCAGACCCTGCCCAGACCTTTAACAGACCTTGCCCAGACCCTGCCCAGACCCTTCTAGTCTGGGCTGCCTTCTCCAGCAATGCTGGGTGGTGTCCAAGGGGCAGACCTGGGCAGAGGAGGGGACCCGGGGCTGGCTGCGGCACGGGGCTGGGGTGCTGCTGGGACTCGGGGCAGGATCTGGTGTCTTTTCTGCTGAGAGCCAGGGCTGTGGCAGGTGCATTTGTTCCAGGAGGGGTTTTCTTCCCTCAAAGCTTCCACAGAGTAGCCCTGCCCTTCTCCATGCCTGCACTCAGATGGAGGAAGCCTTTGGCACCTCTCGTGTCTGGGTGGGTCTCCCCAGAGAAGCTGAACACCCACATTGCTCCACAAAACTAGTGCCTGGGTTGTCATCTCACCCACCAGCAGCCTGAAAACGGAAGGTTAAAGTGAAGTGAGCTTACGGTGGGGTTCTGTGTGAGCAGGAGAGAAAGCCCCTCTCAGCCCCAGTCACTCCGCGTGCCTCGGCCTCGAGCTGTGCGTGGACGCTTCCCACGGAGCGAAGCGGGGGTCCTCGCCGTGTCCCCGCTGCGAGCCCGTGGGTCCCTGCAATAAGCAGCCCCATTGCCAGCCTGTGGGGACGATGTGCTGACGGCAAGGCCTTGGAACACAAAGCGCAGGCACGGGCTGGGAGCTGGGCTCCGGCAGAGATAATTTGCAGCGGGTCTTTGAACGCAGCCGGTTGCACGTCATGCAAGAAGACGCTGTTCCTGCAGAGCAGACTCAGGTGCAGCTGAGCAAGCAGGAGCAGGGGGAGGCAGCAGACTGCAGGACGATGCCATGGCCCCGCGGGGACAGAGCGGGATGTTCTCGGTTCCAACCAAAGTAACGTGGGAAACCGGTACTTTTCCCAAACGGGAGCCAAATGCAGTTTTGTGCTGCAGGAGGCAGCTGGGTCCCTCTGGGCTGAGGCTGTGCCCGGTGGGCGATCCAGGCAGCGAGGAGGGGAGGCGACAGGCTGAGGGGAGAGGAGCGGGCTCGGGAAGCGTGGCAGAGTGAGAACACCGTGGAGATGGCAGGCTGAAGGGCAACGTGTCCAGGGAAAGGTGTTTGTTACAGGGGAAGAAAGTGCTGCTGGCAGCCCGGCTTTCCTCTTTTGCTCACCGTCCTCTCCAAAGCCCAGTGATGCCCCCCCATCGCAGGCAGCCCCCGAGCTGGCCAGGCTGTGCAGAGCCCTTTCCAGCCACACTCCTGGCTTGGTGGTAGGGCTGGGGGTGCTGCTTGGTGCTCTGCCTGGAGCAGGAGGGTGAGCCGTGCCCCCAGACAGCGTGTCCTGCAGGGGGTTTGGGGACATGTAAGGCCTTGGCCAGCTCCGGGGCTGCAGCCTGTAGCATCCAGAAAGCCCCCTCCCCTGTTCCCTGGAGCGGGACCCCAGGGGACAGGCTGTGGGAGCTCCTGTGTCCTTGGGGCTCACGGCTGGGGCGGCTGATGCTCAGAGCGGGGAGATGGGGCAACGGCCGTGGAGTCAGGGCAGAGCTTGTATGGCTGTTGGAGTGCATTTGGGGGGCTGGGAGTGGGGAGGGCAGGATGCTCATGGCAGGTACTGAGGATTGGGGGGGCACTGGGAGTGGGGAGGGCAGGGTGCTCGTGGGGGCAGAGCGAGGTGGGGTGCTGAGAGAGGAAAACTTGCAGGTGCCTGGGAGCCCAGAATCCCACCTGCCCTACCCCATGCTGTGCCCCGCTTCTTGGCCCAAGGGGAAGGCTCTGGCCCTGCACAGCCCCACAGAGCTCTGTGAGTGCCGCTGGGGCCACCACAGTGGGCTGCAGCGAGGCCAGCCCTGTGCCAGGAGACGGCTCTCTGCCTGGGGCCACCCCGTGCTGGAGCCGCGCTCTCCTTCATTGTGCTGAGCTGCTCTTCCACACCCTGCTGCTTCCCACAGCTTGTCTCTGCCCCACCTCTGGCAGCTGCCAGACAACATTTCAGGAGACTTCAGATGGGCTGGGGAGCTTGCAGCAGCTCTCCTTCATTGCTCTGAGCTGCTCTTCCACACAGCTGCATTTGCGCTTCCAGAAGCTGGGACACCTGGAGCAGCGGCCTGGGCCGGCCTGGTGGCGGTTGGTACCCACCGCATGAGGGAGGCCGGGGACGGCCAGCCGGCCTCGGCCGTTGTTAATAAACCACCTTCGACCGCTGCAGCCGGGCGCGGGTCCGGGTCCCCGCAGACCGTCTGCGCCGGGCAGGGCGGTGCGGGAGGCGGCGACAGGAAAGGCCTGTAGCGGCCCTGAGCGACGCGTCCGGCGGCGGACTACAGCTCCCGGCGTGCTCCGCGCCGGACTACAGCTCCCGGCGTGCTCCGCGGCGGCGGCGGACTGCCCCGCGCGGGTCAGCTGGCGGCGATGCGCCGCGTTCGGCCCCGCCGGTCCCGGAACCGCCGGCGCTGCGGGGCCGGGACGGGTCCTGCTGGGCCGAGCGCGGAAGGGCAGCGCCGCAGCCCGAGCTGAGCGCGCGTATCGCGGGTCGTGGGGTCTCCGCCGTTGGCAGCGCCATGGGGCCGCGGGGCCGGGCCCTGCCGTGGGCCCTGGCGCTGCTGGCTCTGCGCGGAGCCGCCGCCGCCCCCCCCAGCTTCGTCCTGTTGCTGGCGGACGACTTGGGGTTCGGGGACCTGGGGAGTTACGGGCACCCCTCTTCAGCCACGCCGCACCTGGACCGGATGGCGTCCCGCGGGCTGCGCTTCACCAGCTTCTACAGCAGCTCCCCGGTGTGCAGCCCCTCCCGGTATGTCCCCCGCCGCTCCCGGCCCCCCGGCTGGCGGCTGCTGCGGGGCCCCGGGGCGGGAACGGCGGAAACTTGAGGCCGGGCTGGGCACCCAGCTGGGGACGTGCCGTGCTGGCAGGAACGGCGGTGCCGCGTCCCAGGAGGCCCAAAGGTGCGGCTGCGGCGTCCCCGCAGACAGGGGAAGTGGCAGCCGTGACACGGGGGAGCCGCGCTGCCGGGCCCCGAGGAACGGGGCAGCCTCTGCCGAGGTCGAGCGCCGCGACTGCGCTGCCTCCAGCGTGATGGCTGTCTCCTCTCTCTCGACTCTCGCCCGCAGGGCAGCCCTGCTGACCGGCCGCTTCCAGATGCGCTCAGGGGTTTACCCCGGTGTGTTCTACCCCGGCTCGCGGGGAGGCCTGCCGCTCGCCGAGGTCACCATCGCAGAGGTGCTGAAGGCCGAGGGCTATGCCACAGCCATGGTTGGCAAGTGGCACCTTGGCCTGGGGGTTAATGGCTCCTTCCTGCCCATCCACCAGGGCTTTGACCACTTCTTGGGGGTGCCCTACTCCCACGACCAGGTGAGAGGCCTGTCTCTGAAGGGTGCCCGGGGCTGGCCGGGGACAATGACTGAAAGATGAAGCTGGGTTGAAAGCACATAGAGAGGCAGGGTTAGTGCTTGCCTGGGCAGAGGGGCATGGGGGGCCATGGGCAGGAGAGGTGGGTGCTGGTGGGGGAAGCCCATCTCTGAGGGACTCCTATGACAGGGCAGTTCTGCAGAATGTGGGTGGCAGTTGTGTGTGGGGACATGTGCCCTTTGTCCAGGTCAGCTTCTGGGCTACAAAGAAACGTCTGGGTGGCTGTCAGGAGAAAATAATGTTAGGGCAGCGTGGTCCGTGCGCAGTTCTAGGGTGGGCACGGACCCTATGGCTTCTGGAAGTGGCTGCCCAAAGGGTGTCTGTAGGACGTGGTGGTGGGCTGCTGGGAAACTTTGCTGGGAAAAGACAAAGTGTTATTTGTTCTCTCCAGGGCCCCTGCCAGAATCTCACCTGCTTCCCACCCAACATCAAGTGCTTTGGGACTTGTGACCAAGGCGTGGTGCCGGTTCCACTGCTCTGCAACCAGAGCATCGTGCAGCAGCCGGTCTCTTTTCCGGATCTGGTGCCGCTCTACAACAAATTCTCCCGGGACTTCATCGCTGACTGTGCCCGACGAGGCCTCCCCTTCCTGCTCTACTATGCCTCCCATGTAGGCCGGGGGGGGCTGCTCCGGGCCAAGGGTGGGGAGGGGAGCCCTTGTCCTGTGGGGAGAGCAGAGAGGCATCTCAGCTTCTTCAGCTTGTGCTGAGCAGTGATTGCCTGCTCCTGGATGACCTGGGGTTGCTGTCCCAAGGTCCAGCTCTCGTGGCAGCAGTGTTCTGATAATGTTCTTGGGCTGTGTCTTTCTGGAGCTTTGCCTGCTTCTCTGGGCCAGGAGTCTGCCCAGGGAACCCTCCCACCCTGGGGCTCCACACGCTCTCTTGGGGCTCAGCTCCTTTCTGCCATTTCTGAGAGGTGCTTCTGGGGACAAGCCTCCTCTCATCTCCTGGGCATTGTCACATATCTCCATGTCCTAGCTGGGTTGCTCCCTGTCCTTGGGTGAACTGGGAACCAGCTGCAGCTCTAAGAGTTCATGCAGCAATCTGCTCTGCCCTGTCTCCAGCATACCCACTACCCCCAGTTTGCGAGCCAGGAGTACGCGGGGCAGTCACGGCGGGGGCCATTCGGTGATGCTCTCTCGGAGTTTGATGGCTCGGTGGGACAGCTGCTGCAGGCACTGGAGGAAAATGGTCTTGCAAATACGACCTTGGTGTTTTTCACCTCTGACAATGGGTGAGTGGGCTCAGCAGGGGGCACTTTGTCACTTAAGATTCTGCTGCTGTGGCATGGGGGAACCGGAATGGGGCATTGGTTGGCTGGGGCAAAAGGGATGTGAGACCCTGGAGTGAGGCAAGAGGTGGATGCTGCTCTGGAGAGGACCCAGTGCACGATCTGCTCCATGTTCCTGTGACTCAGCTGTGCCCCTCCTTGTGGGCAGAAACTTCACAGGGTTCAGGCCAGGAGCATGCAGCAGCCCAAATGTACCCCGATTCTCTCTGTGTGTGGGTGGCTTTGGACTTTGTCACCTGCACCACACCTCCTGCCTCACCAGGCTGAGGATGGCAGTATGACTTGCTGGCACCATGTCTCTCGTCATGGCCTCGTTGGCAGCATCAGGGAAGGGGTAGTGTGAACCTGATGGTAGGCGGTTCTTCTCTCTCGCAGCCCCTCCACTATGCGGATGGCACGTGGGGGCAGCTCTGGCCTTCTGAAGTGTGGGAAGGGCACAACATACGAAGGTGGCATGCGGGAACCAGCGGTGGCTTATTGGCCAGGCCGTATCGCTCCAGGTGAGACTTGGCACTGCTCCTACCTTCTGTGTGCCGATGCCAAGGCAGAGGTGTCATGTCCACCTGGCTGCCCCGGGACAAGCAGAGGGCGGGAGAGAAGCAAGGGTGGCAGGGAGGGGATGGGATCGGGCGCTTGAACCTTTCCTTGTGCCTTGCTGTGGTGGGTGACAGGAGTGACGCATGAGATGGCGAGCACCCTGGACATCCTGCCAACCCTGGCTACCCTGGCTGGAGCAGCTCTTCCCAAAGTTGCCCTGGATGGCTATGACCTGAGTCCAGTGCTGTTTGGGTCAGGAAAGGTGAGTCCTGCAGGCTGGTTTGGCTGCATGAGGGCTGAGTGCCTGAAGAGCCGAACCAGCTGGGGGCCAGGGGAGATCTGTGAGCTGGGACCTTTTGGCTGGTAGGGTCATGCCATGGGATTCCAGGGCTTCCCAGGCTGCTCAGCTCTAATACCCACAGCGTGTTGCCAGACCAAACCCCCACAGCCACAGAGGATGGGCAGAGTCCCCATAGCTCTTGAGTAGGGAGCAAACGGTGCTGCTGCTCGTCAGCTTGCTCTCTCTCTGGCCATGTTCTGGCTGTAGTGTTTGGGCTCCTGTGTGACTACCGGGAGCCTCTGCCTGGTCCCGTTCCAGGCTCCTCTTCAGCCCGGTGGCTGCACAGGTGACCATGGCCCTGCTGCTTCCCACAGAGTCCCCGTCAGACCATGTTTTTCTACCCGCCGGCCCCCGATCCGCTGCACGGCCCCTTTGCTGTCAGGCTGGGGAAGTACAAGGCCCATTACTTCACACAAGGTTGGTGCTGCCTCCTCTCCTCAGCACGGGCAGCTTTGTGAGGTCCCGTACGGTTTTGCTGTCCAAAGCTCAAAGAGAAGAAACTGAGCTACACCTGGGGGCTTCTTTTGTAGGTTCCTTCCACAGTGACGAGACCCCAGACCAGGCCTGCCACGGGCTGACCCCACTGGCCCCTCACTTGCCCCCGCTGCTCTTTGACCTGGAGTCAGACCCGGCTGAGAACTATAACCTGCTGCAGAGCGGCGCAGGGCCAGAGCTTCTGCAGGTCCTGAAGGAGATCAAGCTGCAGAAAGTGCTGTTTGAACAGCGCATGGAGTTTGGGGAGAGCCAGATGAGGAAGGGCACGGATCCTGCCCTGCAGCCCTGCTGCGCACCCAACTGCACGCCTAAGCCCTCCTGCTGCCGCTGCTCCTAGCCTCCTGCTGTGCCTCCACGCTGAACCCTCTCCCAAACCCCCCAACACCCCCAACTAACCGAGCTCAGCCTTGGAGCTACCCTGTGGCTTTGGATCACTGACAACTCTGACTAATGCAGAGCTGGGGCAGCAAACTGTGGGACAGGGAGGTGAGGAGTGCAGGTCAGTGGACCCTGTGCACTGTGTTGGATGTTCAAAATGAGGCCTCTTGACAGAAACCCTGGCTTCTTCAGGTAGGGACCATGATACAGCATCATCTCCAGACCCAGAACAGCTCCTTCCAAACTATGACCAAGGTGAAGCAAAGGGCATGCCCCAGTGTCCAGAGATCCCAGTTCAGCTGGGGCCATGCTGTGCACCAGGTGGGACCAGAGCTGGGAGCTGCAGCACCATCCCTTGCCAGGGGCCAGGAGCACAGCAAGAGGAGGGGATGGATGGTCCCGGCAGCTTCAGAGGCAGGACCTTGTGCCGTGAGGGCAGAGGGGCCGTGGCTGGGTGGGAAGCAGCTCAGGCATTGCACGCTCAAGCACCTCCACGTCTCTCGTGACTCCAGGAGGTGGAGACGTGGCCGGGGGTTGGCAGCCAGGGCCCCTTGTAAGGTCTGTGGATGCTGGGGCTGATCAAGGAGGGGGGCTGCAACCCCGTGCCACCCACATGTCTGGAAGGGTCTCTGTCCCCGTGCTCGTGAGCGAGTCCAGCTCCACGTTCACTAGTGAATGGCACACGGTGCTCCCACCCAGCGCTGGCTCTGGACACTGGGTGTTTCCAGCTGTGGGGTCCCTGGGGCCTCTGTTCTTTTGCCATTGCTGGCAGCCTCTGGACCCACCGCCCAGTGGGTAGAGAGCAGGGCCACACAGATCCGGGTTTGGAATCGCTCCCAAGAAGGAGGTGGGATGGACTGTGATGATCAGGGGCAGGGCTCAGTCAAACAAGCAAAGACACCAGCAGCTTGCCTGTGTGTGACAGGCTCCTTGACATTTACATTAATCAAGGACTTTTTTTTAGCTTCCCGTAGAAGAATAGAGCGATGGAATGGCCAATGCAACGTTCCACGCCACAGACCTGCTCAGTAGGTAACTGAGGGTTGGCCAGGGGGTGGGAATGCCCGATCACAGCTCGGGATGGTGCCAGTTCAGCAGGTGGTGGTTCCTGGTTTGAGGTAAACCAGAACCAATTTTCTGTTCGCTAGTTTTACTTTTCAACCAAGGCTCTTCTTACTAATTGAACTGTCTGAAATTAACAGCATATTGCTGAGACACTGCTTGCTCCCAGAGAGATAGGACCAATTTTCTGCCAATTTTCAATTTATGCCAAGGAACGGCATGCAGAGGGGCTCTTGCTTCTACTTACTGCTATAACAACCAAGGTTGGCTCTTTCCGTGGATAGAGAAGCGTGGGGAGAATCTGCTGTTGGTTTCAGTGGCCCACCAGGACAGGTGGTTATTGATATTTTTTGTGCTAGTTTTCTGATCTCATTCTATTAAACTGTCTTTATTTCAACCCATGAGGTTTTTTTCCTTTCTCCTCCTTTTCTCCCTCATCTCCCCTGTGGGGTGGAGAAGGGGCAAGCGAGTGGCTGAGTGGTGGGGCTCAAACCATGACAAGGATTTACCAATGCTGTGGAGAATGGCAGGCCAACACACCAGCAGCATCATTTTCTGTCTAGAGCTTAAAGTGGCATCTCTTTGGCCGTGCACTGCCAGGGTGTTGCTGGGGCTGACACAGCCAGAGCAGGAGGGGACACTGCTTTGTGCGGGACGGGGGACACAGCATGGCCATCCTTGGCTTCTTGGCCTCGCACATCCCTGCCATCCCCAGAGGGGCTCTGCAGCAC